TGCATAGACTGACTTGTGCAATAGTGCGGCAAGTCCAGACACAAATGGACCGATTGTTGGTCCAAGGAACCTACTGTTGTCCGAGTGGCAGCAGTAAGAGTACAAAAGCGGAAAAGAGGGAATGGCAAGTCCAACTCTCAGAAGAAGGCTAAAGTGGCTGCTGTAGTAGCAGAAGATCCACTTGTTGTACTCCCGGAGGTTACAGAAGATTTTGTTTTTCAGCCTGAGCAAGACTCGGACAATGAAATCATCTGGTAGAAAAAGTGTCTGTTTTAGTCTATGTTTACTAGTTTTCTTTCATATGGGTTTTCGGTTTCTATGCTTTTCTTGAATAAATTATGATTGTGTTTCCGCCTATTTGATTGCTCCAAGCACTCTGAGGATGGGTTTAAGACCCGAAACAGCTGGTCTGTCAGTGCTCTACCAAAGTTATATTTGCTACCAAGACACTTCCAAACCGCTGTTAAAAAGACTACTACACAATACATCTGCTATATTATCGCTTGGGAATAGAACCAAAGGATCCCTGATCTTAGTAGTGCCCGAAGCTATTAGCTATGTTGAAAAGACAAAGGGAACCAAGTCCGGAAACCGCTGTTAAGCAGAGAAAGTTGGAACAGAGGCTTCCCTCCTTACCAGTACATGGAAAAAGACCTATACTGAAGGCAAGACTGTCATGGACGGTCAAAGGAAAGGATGAAGGCGCCCAAGGGTCTTTCCTGTTCGACACCGGTTGTACAGGAGCTATCCTCAATCAGAGTTTTGTCAGGAAACATGGAATTCCCTTAGTGCGGCGGGATCAACCTCTAACAATGTTTGATGCTCAAGGAGATGTCATGATGGGAGGAGGCGAGTATTACACTCACCCGGTCCGTATGACTATGGGAGATCATAAGGAGACACTCCGATGGGAGGTGGCTACTCTGGAAGAAGGAATGACCGGTTACCTGCCAATTAGTTGGGCTAGGAAGCATAACCCGGACATCAATTGGGAACTCAACACCATGAGCTGGAGGAGTGACTACTGCAAGCAGAATTGTCTCCCAGCGGCCACCAAGATTGAGCTGATCTCTCCATACCAGATGTTGGAAGAAGAAGAGACGGTCTATCAATTGGTTGGTTCAGTATGGCATGATGAGGACGGAGGTGATATTGCTGAGAAGATACACCACCTATACCGGGATTGGGCTGATGTGTTCAGTCAAGAGAAGATTGAGGAAATGCCGCCGCATTCCCATAATGATTTAAAGATCAAACTCTTGCCTGGGACCGCTCCCCCATTTGGCCCGCTGTACCCATGTTCCGCTCCAGAATTGAAGGCCCTCCGAGAGTACCTGGACAAAGAATTGTCTTCAGGAAAGATCTCTAGATCTAACAGCCCTGCTGCGGCGCCCATACTGTTCATTCCTAAGAAGGATGGGACATTGCGGATTTGTGTGGACTACAGAGGATTGAACAAGGTCACTGTCAAGGACAAGTACCCGCTGCCTATCATGAGTGAGCTCAGAGACAGGTTGTTCAAGGCCAAGATCTTCACAAAGATAGACCTGAAGAACGGCTTCAATTTGATCAGGATAGCAGAAGGTGATGAGTGGAAGACCGCTTTCAGAACCCGCTATGGACTGTATCAGTATAATGTGATGCCGTTTGGTCTATGCAATGCTCCCTCCGCTTTTCAGGCAATGATCAATGATGTGCTAAAGGAACTACTGGATGAAGGAGTGGTTGTCTATATTGACGACATCCTCATCTACTCGGAGACTGAGAAAGAGCATGAGCTATTGGTCAAGAGGGTACTACAGAAGCTTAGGGAAGCTAAGCTCTGTGCCTCGATCAGTAAGACATCCTTCCATGTCCGAGAAGTAGAATACCTAGGCTATCACATCTCGGAAGAAGGAGTATCTATGTCAGAAGACAAGGTGGAGGCAGTTAAGGAATGGCCGGTCCCTGAGAATATCAAGGCAGTACAGGCATTCCTCGGATTTGCAAACTTCTATCGCCGCTTCATTGAAGGCTTCAGTAAGGTTTGCAAGCCATTAACTGACCTCTTGCAAAAAGACAAGAAATGGTATTGGACGGCAGCACATGAGCAGGCCTTTGAAGAACTCAAGAGGCTGTTCACAAGCGCTCCAATCCTTCTTCACTTTGACCCTAGTAGGAGAACGGTGGTCGAGACAGATGCCAGTGATTTTGCCAAGGGAGCAGTGCTCTCTCAGTATGGGGACGATGGAAAGCTACATCCGGTGGCATTCTATTCTAAGAAGTTCTCCCCTGCTGAGATCAACTATGACATTCATGATAAGGAAATGGGAGCTATTGTAGCCTCTTTCCGGGAATGGGAACACATGCTCAAATCTTGTGAGCAAGAGATCACGGTTTTTACAGACCACAAGAACTTGGAGTACTTTAACTCTACCAAAGTTCTCACTAGGCGGCAAGCTAGATGGTCTGAAGATCTCGCAGGCTACAATTTCAAAGTTGTCTACAGACCGGGAGAAAAGAATGGCAAAACTGATGTGCTATCTAGGCGCTGGGATCACCGCCTTGGAGAGGGAGGTGAAACTCTGCAGCCGGAGCCACAGATCTTTTTTAGGCCAGGTCAATTGGTTTTGGATCCTGCAAAGCTAGCGGCTGTCAGGGTGAATCAATTGCAGAATACATTCTTAGAGCGCCTATACACGGCTGCTAAAGAGGATAGTTTCTGGCAGGAATTGCACCCCTCTCTGGTTGAAAGGAAACCAAATTTGGACCAGAACTTGTCGGTCAAGAACGGTCTCATCTTCTACAAAAATAGATGGTATATACCCAAGGACAAGAAGCTTCAGATGGAAATACTGTCCGATACCCATGACTCTAAGGTGGCTGGTCATTTTGGCCAATTTAAGACACTAGAGCGGGTGAAAAACAACTTCTTTTGGCCCAACATGGATAAGGATGTTGAGGAATATGTCCGGAGCTGTGACAGCTGCCAGAGGAATAAGACCTCAAGACACAAGAAGTTTGGTATGCTCCAACCGTTGGAGATACCCTATCGGCCATGGACTTCCATCTCTATGGACTTCATTGTGGGACTACCGGAATCTAGTGGGTTTACAAAGATCTGGGTAATAGTGGACCGTTTTTCGAAGATGGCACACTACATCCCTCTTCCTACCCTCAATAAGACGGAAGATTTGGCTAAGTTGTTCTTGAAGGAAGTTTGGAGACTCCATGGTTTACCTGATGACATAGTCTCGGACAGAGATAGCAGGTTCATCTCTCACTTTTGGCAATCTCTCATGAGTCTCCTCAATGTGAAGCTGAAGATGTCCACATCTTTCCACCCCCAAACGGACGGTCAAACAGAAAGAGTTAACCAGACCCTGGAACATTACTTGCGGAGTTATTGTTCATATCAACAGGATGACTGGGCAGAACTCTTGCCTTTGGCAGAGTATGCATATAACTCGGCGGTCTCTGAGTCTACCAAAGTATCGGCTTTCTATGCCAACTATGGATATGAACCCAGGACCAACTGGCCGGCCCCAAAGGAAGGAGTAGAATGGAACAATCCAGCGAGCGAGGTCATGATATCTCAATGGGAATCTATCTGGCAGGCTATGAACGCCAGCTTGGGTAAAGCTAGATTAAGGATGGCCCGGTGGTATGATGCTCATGCCCTGGCACCGCCTGAAATCAAGCCCGGAGATGAAGTAATGTTGGACCGGCGCAATGTGCAAACAAAGCGGCCTTTGGGAAAATTGGATCAGAAGAAGATGGGACCTTTTAAGGTCTTAGAAGCTATTGGTACCCGTGCCTACAAGCTCTCTCTTCCCCCTCAAATGGGAATCCACCCGGTCTTTCATGTCTCTCTTCTGGAACCTTACCGAGCACCGGTAGATCCTGAGAGAAGAGTTCCACCACCGGAACCCGAGGAGATTGAAGGAGAACAGAACTGGGTTGTCCGAGAGGTAGCTGATAGCCGGGTCAATAAGAAAAGGAGACGAGTGGAATACCTAGTGCTGTGGGAAGGTTATGAAAACGAGGATGCTACATGGGAACCTTGGGAGCATCTCAAGAAGAGTGCTGAAGAAGCCCTTCGGGATTTCCATATGAGGTACCCTAAGAAACCCAAGGACAAGCGGATTGTTGGGGTGTAGATTATTCCCTCTTGGGTTTTCATTTCCTTGCATATCATGGAGTTTCTTGTCATATAGAATGAATGGTAATAGAATGGTTATAGATCTCGGAGACCAAGATCCTGGAAGAGGGGAGTGGTGTAACGGAGCCATTTCAACTGTCTGGTGTATGAGTACACACAGGGCCCGGTTACATGCTGAGAGTTATTGTTAGAAGCCAGTTGCACGGTGATATGCAAGTACCGGCAGTGTGGTTAGCTACCAGCTGTTAGAGTAACTACATTCCGGGCGCTAGGAAGGGGATCTATTCATGGGAGCAATGACTGACGAGTCTATGCCTCGCCAGTGTCTAGAAGATCGGCCAGAGTGAAGCTCTGATTGTCCGGTGATCCACTGTATCCTCAGAGCATTGTAAGTCCGCCGAAGGGCAGGGACTATGCTAGGGAAGTCTACAATAAGCGGAAACTCTACAGCAATGATTAAGCTTACACCTGAGCGGCAGCTCATCCATGCAGGTCCTCGGTTGTGTGGCAACCAAGGCTGCAGGTGTCATAAAGGCTTTGACTAAGGGTGGTTGCCTTGGGTATCGGAAACACCTGCTGACGCTTAGAGAAAAGCGGGGTAGCGGTGGTATTGTTTTCCGGTACTGAGGGAAGGCCCACCGGAACTTAGTAAAGGAGTTAGGAGCAGAGGACAGAGGCCTTTGAAGTATAAGTACTCAGGCTCATTCTCGCCCTTCAGTCCTGTTCTCTCCAGTCTTCATCAGAAAGAAAAACCAAAATTCTTATCGGTAGCAGAGCCCTTAAAGATTATTGAGTTCTAGCGATAGTATCTTTGAATAATCTGCAACCTGATTGTCTATCTTGCACGGCCGTCTCTATTCTATACAAATCTATTTCTCTTAGAAAGGACCCCCGTTACAGATTCCGGTAACTGCACGACGAAGTCCATTGATATTGATTGCCAGACAGAATGTGGCGTGGACAGTGGAAGAAGCGCACCGTATTTCTTATGGCGGCTGGGTTTGTTGCGCTGGCACTCGTCACATAACCGAACGTAATCATCAATCCACTCGTTCATTTTTGGCCAATAGAAGTTGCGCGTGATAAGTTCCAACGTTTTGTCTTGTCCAAAGTGTCCTGCCACCTTCGAGTCGTGTTCTGCCTGTGCGATTCGGATCTTGATACGGTCGTCTGCCGGAATGTAGAGTCGGTTCTTATAAAAGAGTAGCCCGTCTTTCTCAGCAATATCCTTCAATTCCCCCAGCTTCTCTCCTTGCTCAACTCTCTCTTTCATTCCTACCCATGTCGGGTCTCCCGATGCCGCCTGCCTGACGTGATCCAGAAAATTCTTAGACCAGTCAATCACTCCCTTGGAGGCAAGCGACACCGCTGATACCACAAACTCTTCCTCCGCCAACTGTCCGGGCTTAAAGAACCTGTCTATCGGCTGTTTCCCAAGCGTGCCTCCCCCTTCAGGACGGTACTCCGGCCGTCGCGATAGTGCATCTGCCTTCCCATTTTTGGTTCCCGGGCGGTAAATAATCTTGAAATCAAATTCCGCCAAAGACTCAGCCCACCTTGCCTGTCGTCGGTTAAGAACCTTGGTTGTTGAAAAATATTCCAAGTTCTTATGATCTGTATAGACGAGAACCGTTCGGCTAGGTCCTTCGAGGTAGTGACGCCATTGCTTGAAGGCTGACACAATTCCTAGCATCTCCTTATCCCAGACGTCGTAGTTGAGTTCCGCTGGGTTAAGTTTTCGAGAATAAAAGGCAACAGGGTGAGTCTTTCCGTCAATAACCTGGGATAGAATTGCGGCGATAGCAAAATCACTTGCGTCCGTTTCCACGATAGTCTGGCGATCTGGAGAAAAATGTACCAAGATCGGCGCAGACGTAAATAGGGTTTTGAGTTTTTCGAAGGCTGCTTGGGCCGTCATAGACCAGACAAAGTTCTTAGCATCACCCCTGAGACAATCGGTAATAGGTTTACAGACCCCGGAGAAATTGTGGATAAACCTTCTGTAGAAGTTGGCAAAGCCCATGAAGATCTGTACTTCCTTAACGCTGCGCGGGGCTTGCCAATTCGTAACAGACATGACCTTATCCAGTGCCATGGTGACGCCTGCTGGGGCAAGGATGTATCCGAGGAACTCGATTTCGGTGAGCTCGAAGAATGATTTCTTCGGGTTGGCGACCAGATTGTATTCTTGTAGCCTACTAAGGACTTTACCGACCAACTCTCTGTGCTCCTCTCGAGACTTGCTATATATTAGGATATCATCAAGGTATACTACTACACCTTGATCCAAGAATTCTCTCAGCGCATCATTCATCATGTTCTGGAAGGTCGTCGGCGCATTTGCCAGCCCAAAAGGCATGACGAGGTACTCAAAATGTCCATACCGCGTACGGAAGGCTGTCTTCCACTCGTCGCCGTCTTTGATCCTGATGAGGTTGTAACCTTCCTTCAGGTCAATCTTCGAGAAGATAACCGCGCCTGCCACTCGATCTCGTAGTTCGTCCATAAGCGGTAACGGATACCTGTTCTTAATGGACACACGGTTAAGTCCACGGTAGTCAAAGCAAAGTCGCAGACTACCGTCCTTCTTCTTCACAAATAGGATTGGGGCTCCTGCTGGGGATTTGCTCGGCCGAATCTTTCCCAATCGCAGCATTTTATCCAGGTACTCCCGAAGCACCTTCAGTTCGACTTCGGATAGGGAGTAGACGGGTCCCCATGGTGGCTGTTTTCCTGGTTCGAGATCTATCGCATGGTCGTAGGATCGATGCGGTGGTAGTTTGTCGGCTTCCGATGGTAGGAAGACTTTAAGGAACCCATGGAGCCAAGAGGGAAGAGTTTTGCGGAGGTTGACCGATTCATCTTCCAATAGACAGATGCTACCGATGAATTGAGCCTCCGGATCGTCCAGTACACCCTCGTCCATTTCTATTTGAGGTTCCTTGTCAGTGAAGCATCGACTCTTGCAGTTCTCACCATCGTAGGAAACTTCCCCATTTGCCCCTAGTACCGGCTTGTGTTCTTTCAACCACCAGTTTGGTAGGATCGCATCAATGCCAACCGGGAGAGGGGCGATCTCAAATGATAGTTGCGTTTGGTGCCCCCTTGACATTATAATTAATGGTTGTGTAAAGGCGTGTCCCGTGCCCTTCATAACTTCTCCCGTAAATCCAAATACCCGGGCCGGGACGTCTCGTTTCACCTTCGGGACCTCAAAACTATCAACAAAAACAGCAGACAAAACAGGACCAGTTGCACCAGTATCCAACAACACCTTACAAGGTAAACATTTTTCCGCAAAACAAAGGAACTGATTAACGATAGGTCGAGGACCGTGAATTGGTTCCTCCAAAATTTTCTGTTTTTTCTCCGGTTGGGACGCTCTCCCTTCCTGCCTTTTTCTTTTCATATTTTTTTTGTTGTTTTCCGTCAGTGATAACATAGCAATCTGGGGATACTCCTGACCTGACTCATCAGAGTCCCCTTTTAAAAATCCTCGTCGAAATCCATCTCAGATTCCGATCCGCGTTCTCGCACAAACGCTTGCCCACTGGTGTACTCCGCAGCAGCCGTCGCAGCCGGCTTCTTAGCACGGTGCCTCATTCGCTTCCTCTGAGGTTGGGGTTCCGGTGGTTCCATATCGTGGTCGCCATCGTCATCGCGGGTACGCTTTCGGGAGAAAGAGGAGATAGATGCACTGCTGTTAGCATCTGAACGACACCACTTCCAAAGATGACCCTTTCGGCCACATCGCACACAGGCTCCATCGGTCTTTCGCTGTTCTCGGACCGGCTGTGGAACTCCTTTGGTGGCTTCGTCGTAGTCGTGGTATATTGGCTTATTCCCCGACTTGCTCTTGCTGGTGCTCTTCTTATCTTGCCCTTTTTCCTTCTCCTCGGTCTGAGCCCTTCCCTTAATCTTAAACCCCTTCTCCTTCTGCCACGAGTTCCCACTATTATTCGACTCCCTTCCTCTCGACTCCGCTTTCCCCAACATCTTCATCTGCTCTTGATAAGCCTCGTGAACCTTGCCGGCTCGTTCCAACTGTTGGATGTACTCGGAGTCGTCATCGGTTGGATCGAAGCGTGAGTGGCGCTCCCGGATTTCATTTGGTAGCCCTTGGAGCAGGGCCGCGCGATAGGATGCTCCTTTCATCTGAGCATGCTGGTTCATGATCTCCATTCTCGTCAGGTAGTCTCCGATGTTAGCAGAGTACTTAAACTGCTGCATCTTCATCGCATTTTCCATAGCCTCTTGAGTGCTTAAGAAACGTTTCCTAATCTCCTGACGGAACCGAGTCCAAGTAGCGTAGTCCGCGGCTGCCGGTCCTAGCATCTTGGTCTCGATGTATTCCATGAACCACTCCTTTGCCAACCCACACGTATACGTTCCAGCGAACAGTACCTTGTTCCTGTCCGTTCGGAACTTCTTGGGTTTCTGCTCGAAGTAGATCTCGCACTCCATGAGCCAATGCCGCAGATTATGCTTCCTGGCATTGTCGAACTCAAAGGGTATTTTGGCGAGCGAATCTGCCATATCTTCGTCTTCAGGCGGCGCCGAATTCCGGTTCCCGCCTCGGTTCATTCTCCAATTTTTCCGACCGTACGACCATTCACTATTATCGTCGTCATCGTCGTCGGAAGGTTCTGGGTCTCCCCCAACGTTTCCTCTTGGTGGGTTTTGTGGAGGTTGCTTTCCACCATTCCCGCCAACTGGAGCAGCTCCCACCGGTCCTCTGCCACTATTGCCCTGCACTGGGCCGGCATCCTCCGGCTGCCTGCCTCCATTTCCTCCTACTGGACCAGCGTTTCCTCCTACTGGGCCAGTATTTTCGGGTTTCTTGCCATTGCCAACAGGAACCGTTCGGGGCGCGTTAGGGTCTAAAGGAGCACTTGCCACAGAAGGTGCTACTGACAGATGTTGTCGCAGTAGTTCCTCCATCTCGGCTATCCGTTGGTTTCTTTCCGCATCGGACCGCTTGAATTCCGCAAACCAAGCTCGTTGCTCCCCTTTTTCCTGCTCCCGCTCTTCTCTCACGATCCTCAGTTGTCGCTCCGCCTCCTGTAACTGGTTCTGGGTTTGTAGATGACTTTGCTCCAGAATCTTGTGGTCGGCGGCTCGTGCAGCTTCGTGTGCTTGTTGGACACTGGAGACGAGCTCAAAAAGCGATTCCAGATGTTGTTTTTGGGCAATGGCTTCTTGCCGTACCTTCTTGTCCAGAATTTGTCCACTCCCTTGGACTTGCTCCTGGAGGTTTTGTAGCTGCTGCCAAACGGCCTGTCCAGCTGCACCAAGATACCTCATTTGTGCCTCATGGGTATCCAAAAACTCCTGCATATTCCTCACAAACTGGGCTTGAGCAGAGCGTTTACTCGATTGCCTAGTTGTTGTAGAGGGTCCTCCCGTAAGTAGGGGGTCTGGGCTCGCAGCCCTTGATATCACCATAGAATCTTCTCCTCCGGCCTCCTCAGTTACGGCCGAGGTATCTATGAAGTAATTATCCCTTCGGGTAGTCATTGTGATAGGGGATAATGATGATAGTTCTTTTCTTTGAGGTGACTTCGTTACTCCAAGTGAACTTGTGAGTAACAATATACTGTGAGGGATGCGTACCAGACCGCAAGAGTACACTACGCAGAGCTCAGAGTTCGGCTAACAGCTACAAAGGTAGAAGTCTCCAAGGTCTCTTCAGTCAACGTCGAGTATGATTCTCCTTGATCCGATACGGGCCACGCGAGCTACGTTATCAACAAAGATTCACTAGAGTTAGCGTATGATGTTCGATCGTCTTCGACGTAATAGTTCAGGTAGAGTTCGAAGTCACGATAGAGTAAAGTAATTCAGGAAGTATAGTCAAATAAAGTTGTAACTCGCGTATCAACGATTTATATTGTTAAGACTCTGATTTCGCCGATGATGGTTTGGCTAGTCAGTGAATGACACAGTATTTATATCCCTCGCTTATGTCTCGAGGACCCAGTCTTCTAATAATACAGCATACACTCGGGGCCTGCCCGAGACCCTGAAAAACAACCAAGAACATTTAACTCCTAAGTCCGTTGAAACCCCTCAACCTATTTATCCACTCTAATGCACGTTTCCCTGTCGATGTTTCTTCCCCATCGGCCGTCTGGTGGATAATCGTCAGCGTCGGCTATTCGGAGGTCTCGGACGGCAAGGCTACCTACTCTGGCCTCTTCCCACATCGCTTTCCCACATAGCAGAGTCCTCTCATGCCCACAGGTACCGCCGATAGGTACTCGGCCGGCTGGCAGCTTGCGCCGATTCGTTCCGAGCGGTCCGATCTTCGATCCGATTGATTCCAGCTGTCCCTCATATATCCACCGGTACCAAAACACTCCCCTCCGGCGGTTTGACGCTCCGGGGGTTATTATTGGGGTCGAAAACGTGTTTTTTAACTAGGGAAACCGCAACTCCGCATTTGGTCGCATATTGATCGCACCGTACCTCGTAGGTGCGAACCGGAGTTGATAGTGGTGTTGCCATTAGTATTAAAGGGTATAGGGGTATCTACTAGCCTTTCTCTCACTCCCGTAAATGCTTGGCATGCCCGTAACAGCCACGGCGGCCCAGGTGCCTGCTTTCCATCCACGAGGTTGGGGGGGTGCGGGTGGGGGGGCCTGAGGAGCTGCCTGTGGCGCTGCTTGGGGAACTGTTTGCGGGATCGCTGGGGGGGGGATTCTCTGTCCTTGCGGTTGTTGCGGTTTTTGCTGTTGTTGCTGTTGTTGCTGTTGTTGCGGTTGTTGCGGTTGCTGCGGTTGTGGTTGTTTGTTGAGGAGCGCGTGGTTCGCCGAATGCATATTGGTGATCATGTTTGTCTGCGCCTCGATCTGATGTTTCAGTGTGTCCACTGTTCTCCGGAGTGTAGTCGTTTGCTCTTCGAGGATTTCCATCCTGTCGGTGGGTGGGCAGATCCGACTGGTGGCATGTCTGATGGCCCAGGTAATTGTTACGGGCATGCCAAGTATTTACGGGAGTGAGAGAAAGGCTAGTAGATACCCCAATACCCTCTGTACGCTAATATCAACTCTTGACCACACTCGCGGAGTGTGGTGCGACCAAATTACGACCAAAAAACCCAGAGTCATAAAAAACACGTTTTCGACCCCAATAATAACCCCCGGAGCGTCAAACCGCCGGAGGGGAGTGTTTTGGTACCGGTGGATATATGAGGGACAGCTGGAATCAATCGGATCGAAGATCGGACCGCTCGGAGCGAATCGGCGCAAGCTGCCAGCCGACCAAGTACCTATCGGCGGTACCTGTGGGCATGAGAGGACTCTGCTATGTGGGAAAGCGATGTGGGAAGAGGCCTGAGTAGGTAGCCTTGCCGGCCGAGACCTCCGAATAGCCGATGCTGACGATTATCCACCAAGACGGCCGATGGAGAAGAAACATCGACAGGGAAACGTGTATTAGAGTGGATAAATAGGTTGAGGGGTTTCAGCGGATTTAGGAGTTTGGGTTACGGACTTAGGAGTTAAATGTTCTTGGTTGTTTTTCAGGGTCTCGGGCATGCCCCGAGTGTATTCTGTATTATTAGTAGACTGGGTCCTCGAGACATAAGCGAGGGATATAAATACTGTGTCATTCACTGACTAGCCAAACCATCATCGGCGAAATCAGAGTCTTAACAATATAAATCGTTGATACGCGAGTTACAACTTTATTTGACTATACTTTCTGAAATACTTTACTCTACGGTGACTTCGAACTCTACCTGAACTATTACGTCGAAGACGGTCGAACATCACACGCTAACTCTAGTGAATCTTGGTTGATAACGTAACTCGCAGGGCCCGTATCGGATCAAGGAGAATTATACTCGACGTTGACTGAGGAGACCTTGGAGACTTCTACCTTTGTAGCTGTTAGCCGAACTCTGAGCTCTGCGTAGTGTACTCTTGTGGTCTGGTACGCATCCCTCACAGTATATTGTTACTCACAAGTTCACTTGGAGTAACGAAGTCACCTCGAAAGGAAGAACTATCATCATTATCCCCTATTACAATGACTGCCCGAAGGGATAATTATTTCATAGATACCTCGGCCGCAACCGAGGAGGCCGGGGGGGAAGATTCTATGGTAATATCAAGGGCTGCTAGCCCAGATCCCCTACTCCAGGGAGGACCCTCTACACACACTAGGCAATCGAGTAAACGCTCTACTCAAGCCCAGTTTACGAGGTATATGCAGGAGTTTTTGGATACCCATGCGGCACAAATGAGGTATCTGGGTACAGCAGGACAGGCAATGTGGCAGGAGCTACAAAACCTTCAGGAAAAAGTGCAAGGGGGCGGGCAGACCCTGGATAAAAAGGTACGATCAGAAGCCATTGCAACAAAGCAACATCTCGAATCGCTCTTCGAGCTCGTCGCAAATGTTCAACGAATACAAGAAGCCGCACGAGCCGCCGACCATGAGGTTCTGGATCGTAATCATCTGAATACCCAGAACCAGTTACAGGAGGCGGAGCGACAGTTGAGGATGATGAGGGAAGAGCGAGAACAGGAGAAAAGGGAACAACGAGAGCTGTTGGTACAAATTAAGCAATCTGATGAAGCAAGAAACCAACGGATAGCCGAGATGGAGGAACGAATACGACAACGTTTGTCGGTAGTACCCTCCGTGGCTAGTGCTCCCTTAGATCCTAATGCACCCCAAGCGGTTTCTGTTGGCAATGGCAAGAACCCCGAAAATGCTGGCCCCCAAACCTCAGGGAATGGCAAGCAACCAGAAGGAGCTGGCCCAGTAGGAAGAAATGGAGGTAGACAACCGGAGGACGCCGGCCCAGTGCAGGGAAATAGTGGCAGGAGACCGGTAGGAGCTGCCCCAGTCGGCGGAAATGGAGGAAATCAACCTCCTCAAAACCCACCAAGAAGAAACCTTGGGGGAGACCCAGAACCTTCCGACGACGATGACGACGATAACAGTGAATGGTCGCACGGTCGGAAGAATTGGAGAAGGAACCGAGGCGGGAACCGGAATTCGGCGCCGCCTGAAGACGACGATATGGTAGATTCGCTTGCCAAAATACCCTTCGAGTTCGATAATGCCAGGAAGCATAACCTGCGGCATTGGCTCATGGAATGCGAGATCTACTTTGAGCAGAAGCCCAAGAAGTTCCGAACGGACAGGAACAAGGTACTGTTCGCTGGAACATATACGTGTGGGTTGGCGAAGGAATGGTTTATGGAGTATATCGAGACCAAGATGCTAGGTCCAGCAGCTGCAGACTACGCTACTTGGACCCGGTTCCGGCAGGAGATTAGGAAACGCTTCTTAAGTACTCAAGAGGCTATGGAAAACGCGATGAAGATGCAGCAGTTTAAGTACTCTGCTAACATCGGAGACTACCTGACAAGAATGGAGATTATGAACCAGCATGCTCAGATGAAAGGAGCATCCTATCGTGCCGCCCTGCTCCAAGGACTACCAAATGAAATCCGGGAGCGCCACTCACGCTTCGATCCAACTGAGGACGACTCCGAATACATCCAACAGTTGGAACGAGCCGGTAAGGCTCATGAGGCCTATCAAGAGCAGATGAAGATGTTGGGGAAAGCGGAGTCGAGAGGAAGGGAGGCGAATAATGGTGGGAACTCGCGGCAAAAGGAGAAGGGGTTTAAGATCAAGGGGAGGGCTCAGACTGAGGAGAAAGAAAAAGGGCAAGATAAGAAGAGCACCGGCAAGAGCAAGTCGGGGAACAAGCCAATATACCACGACTACGACGAAGCCACCAAAGGAGTTCCACAGCCGGTCCGAGAACAGCGAAAGACCGATGGAGCCTGTGTGCGGTGTGGCCGAAAGGGTCATCTTTGGAAGTGGTGTCGTTCAGATGCTAACAGCAGTGCATCTATCTCCTCTTTCTCCCGAAAGCGTACCCGCGATGACGATGGCGACCACGATATGGAACCACCGGAACCCCAACCTCAGAGGAAGCGAATGAGGCACCGTGCTAAGAAGCCGGCTGCGACGGCTGCTGCGGAGTACACCAGTGGGCAAGCGTTTGTGCGAGAACGCGGATCGGAATCTGAGATGGATTTCGATGAGGATTTTTAAAAGGGGACTCTGATGAGTCAGGTCAGGAGTATCCCCAGATTGCTATGTTATCACTGACGGAAAACAACAAAAAAAATATGAAAAGAAAAAGGCAGGAAGGGAGAGCGTCCCAACCGGAGAAAAAACAGAAAATTTTGGAGGAACCTATTCATGGTCCTCGACCTATCGTTAATCAGTTCCTTTGTTTTGCGGAAAAATGTTTACCTTGTAAGGTGTTGTTGGATACTGGTGCAACTGGTCCTGTTTTGTCTGCTGTTTTTGTTGATAGTTTTGAGGTCCCGAAGGTGAAACGAGACGTCCCGGCCCGGGTATTTGGATTTACGGGAGAAGTTATGAAGGGCACGGGACACGCCTTTACACAACCATTAATTATAATGTCAAGGGGGCATCAAACACAGTTGTCATTCGAGATCGCCCCTCTCCCGGTTGGCATCGATGCAATATTACCGAACTGGTGGTTGAAAGAGCACAAGCCGGTTATAGGGGCAAATGGGGAAGTTTCCTACGATGGTGAGAACTGCAAGAGTCGATGCTTCACTGACAAGGAACCTCAAATAGAAATGGACGAGGGTGTATTAGACGATCCGGAGGCCCAATTCATCGGTAGTATTTGTCTTCTGGAAGATGAATCGGTTAACCTCCGCGAAACTCTTCCCTCATGGCTCCATGGGTTCCTTAAAGTCTTCCTACCATCGGAAGCAGACAAATTACCACCGCATCGATCTTATGACCACGCGATAGATCTCGAGCCAGAAAAGCAGCCACCATGGGGACCCGTCTACTCCCTATCCGAAGTCGAACTGAAGGTGCTTCGAGAATACCTAGATAAAATGTTGCGATTGGGAAAGATTAGGCCAAGCAAATCCCCGGCAGGAGCCCCAATCCTATTTGTGAAGAAGAAGGACGGTAGTCTGCGACTTTGCGTTGACTACCGTGGACTTAACCGTGTGTCCATCAAGAACAGGTATCCGTTACCGCTTATGGACGAGCTGCGAGATCGAGTGGCAGGCGCGGTTATCTTCTCGAAGATTGACCTGAAGGAAGGTTACAACCTCATCAGGATCAAAGACGGCGACGAGTGGAAGACAGCCTTTCGTACGCGGTACGGGCATTTTGAGTACCTCGTCATGCCTTTTGGGCTGGCAAATGCGCCGGCGACCTTCCAGAATATGATGAATGATGCGCTGAGGGAATTTTTGGATCAAGGTGTAGTAGTATACCTTGATGATATCCTAATATATAGCAAGTCTAGAGAGGAACACAGGGAGCTGGTCGGCAAAGTACTTAGCAGGCTACAAGAATACAACCTAGTCGCCAACCCGAAGAAATCGTTCTTCGAGCTCACCGAAATCGAGTTCCTCGGATATATCCTTGCCCCAGCAGGCGTCACCATGGCACTGGATAAGGTCATGTCTGTTACGAATTGGCAAGCCCCGCGCAGCGTTAAGGAAGTACAGATCTTCATGGGCTTTGCCAACTTCTACAGAAGGTTTATCCACAATTTCTCCGGGGTCTGTAAACCCATTACCGATTGTCTCAGGGGTGATGCTAAGAACTTTGTCTGGTCCATGACGGCCCAAGCAGCCTTCGAAAAACTCAAAACCCTGTTTACGTCTGCGCCGATCTTGGTACACTTCTCTCCAGATCGCCAGACTATCGTGGAAACGGACGCAAGTGATTTTGCTATCGCCGCAATTCTATCCCAGGTTATTGACGGAAAGACTCACCCTGTTGCCTTCTACTCTCGAAAACTTAACCCAGCGGAACTCAACTACGACGTCTGGGATAAGGAGATGTTGGGAATTGTGTCAGCCTTCAAGCAATGGCGTCACTACCTCGAAGGACCTAGCCGAACGGTTCTCGTATATACGGATCACAAGAACTTGGAATATTTTTCAACAACCAAGGTTCTTAACCGACGACAGGCAAGGTGGGCTGAATCTTTGGCGGAATTTGACTTTAAGATTATTTACCGCCCAGGAACCAAAAATGGGAAGGCAGATGCACTATCGCGACGGCCGGAGTACCGTCCTGAAGGGGGAGGCACGCTTGGGAAACAGCCGATAGACAGGTTCTTTAAGCCCGGACAGTTGGCGGAGGAAGAGTTTGTGGTATCAGCGGTGTCGCTTGCCTCCAAGGGGGTGATTGACTGGTCTAAGAACTTTCTGGATCATGTCAGGCAGGCGGCATCGGGAGACCCGACATGGGTAGGACTGAAAGAGAGAGTTGAGCAAGGGGAGAAGCTGGGGGAACTGAAGGATATCGTTGAGAAAGACGGGCTACTCTTCTATAAGAACCGACTCTACATTCCGGCAGACGACCGTATTAAGATCCGAATTGCACAATCAGAACACGATTCGAAGGTGGCAGGACACTTTGGACAAGATAAAACTTTGGAACTTATTACGCGCAACTTCTATTGGCCAAAAATGAACGAGTGGATTGATGATTACGTTCGGTCATGTGACGAGTGCCAGCGCAACAAACCCAGCCGCCATAAGAAATACGGTGCGCTTCTTCCACTGTCCACACCACACTCCGTCTGGCAATCGATATCAATGGACTTCGTCGTACAGTTACCGGAATCAAAGGGATATAACCAAATCTGGGTAGTAGTCGATAGATTCTCGAAGATGTCGCACTTCATCCCCCTAGTAGCAGAAACGACCGCGCAGGATTTAGCGAAGATATTCCTCGGTCAAATCTGGCGACTCCATGGGCTGCCTCTTGATATAGTTTCCGACAGGGACGCCAAGTTTACTTCGAGTTTTTGGGCATCCCTTATGGAATTATTGGACGTGAGGATAAGAATGAGTACGGCTTTCCACCCTCAGACCGATGGGCAAACAGAGCGGGTCAACCAAACCCTCGAACATTACTTACGAGCGTTCTGCAACTACGAGCAAGATGATTGGGCAGAGCTACTCCCTTTGGCGGAGTATGCTTACAACAACTCGGTTACCACCGCCACGGGTCAATCTCCGTTCTATACCAATTACGGTTACAACCCAAGAACCAACTGGCCGACGGAAGCCGAAGTGGTCAACCCAACCAGTGACCTGTACGCTCACTTTATCCGGGGAGTTCATGATTCTGCTCTCGCTCGCTTAACAGATACCAGGGAGAAGATGGGGAAATACTATGATCGAAAAAGGGACGAACCGCCTAACTTCAAGGTGGGAGACATGGTTATGCTCAATGCGACCAATATCAAGACACGTCGCTCCACCAAGAAACTCGATCACAAGAAACTCGGCCCGTTTAAAATCATCCGACTAGCCGGGAAACGAGCCTGCGAACTGGAACTGCCGCCACAAGTCAAAATCCATAATGTGTTCCATATTGAACTCTTGGAACGGTATCGACAGAGCAGTATCCCAGGCCGAGAACAACGTCCCCCAACTCCCGAAGAGGTCGATAAGGAAGGAGAGGTGCTGTACGAAGTGGAAAGTATCGTGGGGAGCCGGAAAAGTAGAAGAGGATTAGTGGAATACCTGGTGAAATGGCGGGGCTATTCGATGAGTGACTGTACGTATCAAGTCATGGACGCTATGGATGAGGAAGTACTTGACCTTGTCCGCGACTTCCATCGAAGGAACCCCAAGGCCGTGAAGGACCAACGCCTGAGACTATAGAGGTACCCTACGGGGCTAAGTCCTTCCCCTCCACAGACACCGCGGGTGATATGTGGAGCAGGTTTACTGGAACCATAGTCTGTCAGAAGATGTCCCGAGACGTGACACCCTGGAAGGGGGGTAAGCTGTTACGGGCATGCCAAGTATTTACGGGAGTGAGAGAAAGGCTAGTAGATACCCCAATACCCTCTGTACGCTAATATCAACTCTTGACCACACTCGCGGAGTGTGGTGCGACCAAATTACGACCAAAAAACCCAGAGTCATAAAAAACACGTTTTCGACCCCAATAATAACCCCCGGAGCGTCAAACCGCCGGAGGGGAGTGTTTTGGTACCGGTGGATATATGAGGGACAGCTGGAATCAATCGGATCGAAGATCGGACCGCTCGGAGCGAATCGGCGCAAGCTGCCAGCCGACCAAGTACCTATCGGCGGTACCTGTGGGCATGAGAGGACTCTGCTATGTGGGAAAGCGATGTGGGAAGAGGCCTGAGTAGGTAGCCTTGCCGGCCGAGACCTCCGAATAGCCGATGCTGACGATTATCCACCAAGACGGCCGATGGAGAAGAAACATCGACAGGGAAACGTGTATTAGAGTGGATAAATAGGTTGAGGGGTTTCAGCGGATTTAGGAGTTTGGGTTACGGACTTAGGAGTTAAATGTTCTTGGTTGTTTTTCAGGGTCTCGGGCATGCCCCGAGTGTATTCTGTATTATTAGTAGACTGGGTCCTCGAGACATAAGCGAGGGATATAAATACTGTGTCATTCACTGAGTAGCCAAACCATCATCGGCGAAATCAGAGTCTTAACAATATAAATCGTTGATACGCGAGTTACAACTTTATTTGACTATACTTTCTGAAATACTTTACTCTACGGTGACTTCGAACTCTACCTGAACTATTACGTCGAAGACGGTCGAACATCACACGCTAACTCTAGTGAATCTTGGTTGATAACGTAACTCGCAGGGCCCGTATCGGATCAAGGAGAATTATACTCGACGTTGACTGAGGAGACCTTGGAGACTTCTACCTTTGTAGCTGTTAGCCGAACTCTGAGCTCTGCGTAGTGTACTCTTGTGGTCTGGTACGCATCCCTCACAGTAATATAGTTCAGGTCCGTCTGGGTGTGAGTATCCTGGGGGACAATGCTCGGGTAGAGGTAGTCGATTCTCGGTTGGTAGGGGTCGTTGTAGTCAGATGTTGTTGCAAAGGTCGAGGAGAATTCCTGTTCTTGAGCTCCGGATAGGGTTGGGTCGGGAACCTGAGTGTTCCTGATCTGCGAGGGGGCTGTCCCTTGCTGGGAACACTGGGTGAAAAAGGACTGGAGCGAAGCTTGCTGCGACATGATTGAGTGTCCAGTTCTTCTGGCGGCGTAGAGTGATGTTTCGGATAGGTTTCTTTTCCTTCCTTTCGGGAGGTCAAGGCTGGAGAATTCTTCGCTGGAAGCCAGTTTTCGTAGGTTTCTTTCGCTTGGAACAACAAGACGCGACCGTACGATCGGGGACGAAGTGGCTCAGCCTGGTATGGTATACCAGGGTAAACCGAGGGGAATAAAAAATAAAGTGTTTTGAAGCGAGGTTTGATATCAGGGAGTTCTTTGCGAGCCTTAGCAAGCAAGAGTAGAATACAGAAGAAGAAGAAGAAGAAACTTATATTGCTTTGAAGTACAAGACTTATCGCACGCCGACCCGACCGCCTAAAACACGAACCGAACAAAAGAACGAAAGGAAAGAAAACAACAAACACAAACAAACAAACACGAACAAAAGCGAACACGAACGAACATCAACAAGAATAAGGAAATTCCGGAACGACCCTCAACCAGAAACAACCCAACGACGAGGAGAAATAACATATCTCAGCGAACTCGGGCGCTGGATCCATCAAAACGAAGTAAAACCAAAGTTTTTAAAAAAAAAGTACAAAGGAAACCACCCTTTCCTAATCCCGTCCCTAATCATTTTCTTCCATCCCCTCTTCTAGGTCCGCCTCCGCTTCCGCCGACTCGTACCACTTCGAGAGTTGAGAGTTTTTTGCAAATTGTAAGATAAGGTCCGTTTTCAAGTTTGTAAACATCCAGTTTTCCCAGGTCATCGCTCCGGGGATCTTTTCTATCAGAGGGGCGCGGATTCGAGCCCACGCTGGGCATTCCATAAGTGTGTGTTTCGCTGAGTTTTCCATACCACACTGGCATGGTTCGGGGTCTGTATATACCGCGTGTTTATCGATTCGGGTAGTTTGGCACCGGATTCGAAAAACTTTTTTCGCTTCCGTTAGGGTGAGTTTCGCAATCTTGGAAGGGGGGCGGAAATCCCCCCGATGATGGTAGTCCGGTATTGGTTGTGTATTCCATTCTTCCAACAGGTGGTCGCGTAGTAGTTTGTTTTGATTCCACTTGTCTCTCGCATTTCCGGGGGTTTGGAATGGGAGTAAGAGGGAGGCGATTCGGTGCAGGCCTGTCCCTTTGACATTTGCTTCTCTGTATGGGAGGAGCTCGATTAGGGATTCATTGTTAGGGTGGGTTGCCTCGGTGCAGAGTATTCTGGTTCCGTACTTTCTTGAGCGATATGTTAGGAGGTGTTCTAGGGGGGGTAGTCCTGCTTCTCGGAGGAGTTTAGCTCTCTTGGTCCATCGAGGTAGGCCCGTGATGATCCGGGCAGCTTCGTTGTATAGTGGTTCTAGCGATCTAATGATGTGGTCTGCGCCAGTCCACCAAGCCTCAGATCCGTAGAGCAGGCTTGGAAGGAAGCCCTGTGTTATTAGGTGATGAACTGTCTTGACTGTTATCCCTGGCAGGCGGGCGGTGTTTCGGATTTGGTGGAGGGCTTTTAGGCCTTTTGCGATTGCTGCTTCGATATGGGGCCGGAAGGAGAGGGTTGGATCTATCCAGACTCCTACGTATTTCAGCCTCTCTTTGGGGTATATATTGATGTTGTTCACTTTGACTGGAAGTCGTGGTTATTGTGTGGATGATGTGGTGGGCCGGAAGAAGATCAGATCGGATTTGTCCGGGTCGTATTTGATTTGGAGTGGCTCAGCTTTAATTAGTCTCTCTCTCATTCGTTCCTCCATTCTCTTGATTGTAAAGCCTGGTGTTTTGGATATTTGCACCAGCGCATCGTCATCAATGTAAGTTGTGTCCATCTCTTTTGGGCTGCTAGTTGGGTCCAGAATTACTCCGGCATATATCATGAATAGTACCGGAGACATGGGGCTACCTTGCGGCACTCCGGAATCATAGGGCTGTGGTTCCTCTAGCTCATGTTTGAATTGGAACTGTAGTTTTCTGCCGGTGTTGAATTCCTTACACCATTCTGTCAGATAGGTGGGGAATTTTTGTTGGTGCATGATTTCCGCGAGGAGTAGGTGATCGACACAATTGAATGCTCCTTGGATGTCGTTGGTTAGGATCGCTGGTCTATCTCGCCGGGCGATTCCGGTGCTGTTTTTTAGCAGTAGGTTTTGTTGTATTGGTGTCAAGGTTCTCAGGAGGGCATCAATCGCCGAGATGGTTGGTCTTCCTCCGAATTGGTTTGCTGAGAGTGTGCCTAGGATTTCTCCAGCGGTGCAGAGTCTCTGGGCCACTATCTTCTCCAGGATTTTGCTGAAGCATTGTAGAAGGGAAATGGGCCGGTAGGCTTTTGCTTCATGGTAATTTGCTTTACCGGGTTTCGGGATCGGGATACACTAAGCTATTTTCCATTCCGCTGGATGTACACCGTGCCGGAGCATAGCGGAGAACATGTCTTGGATTAGAGTTGTATTTGCTTTGACTGTAGCTTTGATAAAGGTATAAGGGATGCCATCCGGGCCGGTCGCCGAGTGCGCTGGGCAGGAGTCGATTGCTTTGTTAAGTTCTTCGGGGGTGACTATGTCGAAGGTGTTGCTAAGGTCAAAAGAGGGGGGTCTAATGTTCAAGGGGGGATGGTCGGGGGACGTCCGTTTCGAGGGGAAGAGTTGGGCTCTTAGAGCTTGACACTTCCCCGCAAACGTTTCTTCACCTTGTATGGTTGGTATGATTGTGTCTCGTCTCTTTCCTGCGCTTAGGATTCTCCAGACTTCACTACCTTTCGCCTCGTTCATCGTCTTTTCCCGCTGGTCCGCTTTTGCTTTCCGGATCATGGCTGTCCATTCTCTGCAAGCCTTCCGGTGTTCCTCCACGTGATTGGATTTCCTTGTATTTCTCGCCTTCCTTTCTGCTGCGTTTACCCTTGCCTTCATCTGTTTCATCTCATCTGACCACCAGGAGTTGGCTCTTACCCCCTCCTTCGAGAGTGGTGTTACTATGCTGACTGTTGACCTAACCAGTTCTAGGAAGAAATCGACAGTTTGTTCCGTATGTTCCTTGGTTTCCCATGCCTCTGCAGGGATGGAGATGTTTGACATGTGGTTCTCCAATAGCTTCCAGTCCGTTTGTCGCCACATTCGTCTTGGTACAAAAGGTGGTTTTTCCAGGTGTAAGTGGACGGAGGTTCTCCCGTGGTCTGAGCCCGCTCCGTAGGGTTCAGTACTCCATCGTAGGTTGTGGTCGAGTATTGGGCCTTTTACAAATGCAAGGTCGATGGTTGTGGGCCTTTTCCCTCTGTCTCTGGGGAAGTGCGTAAAGACGCCTGGTTCGTTCAGGAGGGTCAGTTTCTGTCGGGTTATCCATCGTTTTAACCGTGCGCCGTTGACCCGGTCTGCTCGAATGTTGTTTCTGTATTCATGTGAATTTACTCCGTACCACATTTGATGGTGGCAGTTGAAGTCTCCCATTACTAGACAATTATCAAGGGTTTGGATTGTACTTGCTATTTGGGCAAAGGGGCCACTTCGGCCTGGGGAGTATATATTTAGGATTTGGGTTTTCTTGTTCTGGATTTCTACCGTAATCGATACTATGAAATTATCGTGTGTGTAGTGGTGTTTTGGTTTGAGGTTGGCATGTTTACGGACGTATGTTGCACATTTTGTATTGGTGTTGCTGGCTGTAAAAATATAAAAGAGATTTGATTCTGGTGGGTATCCCTCTGCTGAGGTCCATGGTTCTTGTAATAATAGGAAATAAATACTAGGGTCTGTTTCCGCTTCTTCTACCGCCGCCTTGGTGATAAGTTCGCTCCGTGCACAATTGAGTTGGTGTGCGAGCGCGGTGGTTCGAGGCCTAAGCATTATTTGTCATGTGTTGGTCGTCTTCGGGAACGGGTGTTGCTCCGACTGGGGCGGTGGCTGGTACTTGAACTACCGGAAGCGGCTCCTGGATGGGTGCGGCCGGTGGGTCTTGAGCGGGTGGGGCGTTTTCCTTTCCTTTGTTGAGGAATCGGCGTTTAACTCTTTCGGGGCATGCTGGGTCGGAGGCCTTATGGATTCCTTTACAGTTCAGACATCTGATTGGGGTGTGGGTGCATCTGTATCCTCCCTGGCATTGATTGCATGGGTGGAAGCTGGTGAGATGATCTCCGGCACAATGACCGCATCTCCCACTGTTTTTGCATTTCTCCTGGCGGTGACCGTATTCGAGGCACTTCGCGCATTGGGTGTCTGGGAAGGTTGGGAGGAAGGCCTCGATGTGGCAGCTTCGGTTAAAGAGGGATAGGAACTTAACTCCTAGTGTTTCCATTGTGATTTGTCCTGGGAGCGCGATGACCATTGATGAGTGTGTTTTCTCCATTCGAGTCTCTGCTCTGGAGATCCAGCGGGGAATCTGGGCAAGTTGGAAGTTATCTCCACAATTGCTTCTAATTTCGGATGCTACCAGTTGTCCTGCCTCGGCGCCTTCTCCGACCGTTGTGGGGATTCCGTGAATAAGGAACTTTGACCATTTGGAGTTTGCCCGGATGGTGGCGACTGGTACTTGTAGGGTGAGGAGAGCCTCCTCAATTTCTTTGGCATACTCCATTGCCTTTGTTGCTGGGGTTACAAACTTTGTTTCCAGGATAAAGTTGTCCTTGGGTGTTCTCCTTGCTGAAATAAAGTGGCAGGATTCGTCCTGAATTCTTGCATTAACTAGGGTCCTGATCTCGGAGGGATTGACGTCGGATGGGGCAGTGGTTTCAACAATGATTTCTCTGTTGATTTTGGTATATTCTGGCTTGAAGAGAGGGTCCACTTTTGGCTTTGCGGACTTCTTTCTTCTCTCTACAACCTGGAAATTTCCTTGAGCAGGGCCGGGTGCCGAGGCCACGGCGGCCCAGGTGCCTGCTTTCCATCCACGGGGGGGGGCTTGTTGGGGGGGTGCGGGTGGGGGGGCCTGAGGGGCTGCCTGAGGCGCTGCTTGGGGAACTGTTTGGGGGACCGCTGGAGGGGGCATTCTCTGTCCCTGCGGTTGTTGTGGTTTTCGCTGTTGTTGCTGCTGTTGCTGTTGTTGGTTTTGTTGTGGTTGCTGCGGTTGCTGCGGTTGTGGTTGTTTGTTGAGGAGAAGATGGATCGCCGAGTGCATGTTGGTGATCATATTTGTTTGCGCCTCGATTTGGTGCCTCAGTGTGTCCACTGTTCTCCGGAGTGTGGTCGTTTGCTCTTCGAGGATTTCAATCCTGTCGGTGGGTGGGCAGATTCGGCTGGTGGCATGTCTAATGGCCCAGGTAATGTAGTTCAGGTCCGTCTGGGTGTGAGTGTCCTGAGGAACGACGCTTGGGTAGAGGTAGTCAATTCTCGGTTGGTATGGGTCGTTGTAGTCGGATTGTGTTGCAAAGGTCGAGGAGAATTCTTGTTCCTGAGCTCCGGATGGGGTTGGATCGGGAACCGGAGTATTCCTGTTCTGCGGAGGGGCTGTCCCTTGCTGGGAAGACTGGGTGAAAAAGGACTGGAGCGAGGCTTGTTGCGACATAATTGAATGTCCAGTTCTTCTGGCGGCGTAGAGTGATGTTTCGGAAAGGTTTCTTTTCCTTCCCTTTGGGAGGTCAAGGCTGGAGAATTCTTCGCTGGAAGCCAGTTTTCGTAGGTTTCTTTCGCTTGGAACAACAAAATGCGACCGTACGATCGGGGACCAAGTGGCTCAGCCTGGTATGGTATACCAGGGTAAACCGAAGGGAATAAAATAAGCTGTTTTTGAAGCGAGGTTTGTTATCAGGGAGTTCTTTGCGAGCCTTAGCGAGCAAGTAGAATACAGAGAGAGAGAGAGAGAATCTTATATTGCATCGAAGCCGAAGCTTATCGCACACCTAACTACCCGACTACAACCTCCACCGACTAACCCGAAAGCAAAAACGAAGTACAAAACTAACTACCGCAGCTACAAGAACCGCGTACATAATAAAACAAAACAGCGCACGAAGAGGGCGCGAATAACAAGTGGTACAGGTAAGCAGAATCTAAGCGACAACAAAGAAACCTCCCCGTAGTAAGAATAAAACCCCAAACTTCTCCGTCAACTACATTAGCGAGCACAATCCTATACGTAGTGTTCAATCGAAACGATATCATTACCAACGTTCCCGGTGTCATATCTGTGGACGAACCTTAACAGGGCTGGGAAACCACGCGCACGAAGGCAGGAAAAGCCAACCGCAACAGCGTCAGGGGTGAAAGCGAGGGGGGGTGGGTTGAGTATTGGTCCTCGAGCATCTGCTTGTCAAACAGCGAGGATGTAAAGAGTGGTGACCGGTAGGTCAAGTAAGGAGTGGGTGGGGTCGTCGGTCCCTGGAGCAACGGCTAAAGACTGTGCCCGAGTCGTGTTTGAAGTGGTGTCCTCTGGAGGGGACATGCAAAAAGGTTGAGCCGAAGGCTCAGTATGTATGGGGGTCGCAATCGAAAGTGCCGACCGTATTGTGTTGAGGGTGGTCTCAGAGACCGGTTGGGTTGGGGTGAGGGGAGCGGGCCGCCTCGGGTAAAAAGGGTTGCCTAGTTAAGGCCGATAAAGAGGGGTAAGGTCACGGGACCTCGGGTGAAAAATTTGACGATAGTTTCGCGACCGAGAGGTCGCTAACTTCGCGGGCTGTCGAGCGCTTTGGCAGTAGGTTCTCGCTGACTGGAGATTACTGACAATGTGCGTACCCAACGTGTGGGATCACTCGTGCGATGAGTGAAAGTAAGGAGGGGCGAAGGCGGCTTTCGAGAGTAGCCGCTGGTTTGGCGAGGGGTGAACGGTGGACGCGACCCGTGAGGGCACCGAACGAGCAAAGAATGGGGGGTGTCGAGCGAGGGAAGTTCAGGGACCGAAGCAATTCGAGAATCAGTATAACTCCATCTCGGGGGAAAGAAATCCTACCGCGAGCCAGAGGCGAGCGGGTAGAATAAAGAAGAAGAAGAAGAAACTTATATTGCTTTGAAGTACAAGACTTATCGCACGCCGACCCGACCGCCTAAAAACAAACCGAACCGAACCGAACAAAAGGAAGAAAAAGAAAAAAGAAAAAACAACAACCGCAAACGCAAACGAACAAGAACAAGAACAAAACAAGCACAAGCGAGCATAAACAATAACAAGGGAATTCCGGAACAACACTCAACCAGAAAACCCGACGACAAGGAGAACTAACATATCTCAGCGAACTCGAACGCTGGATCTTTCAAACAGAAAAATTAAACAAAATTAAAGAGTAAAAGGAAACTGCCCTTCCTAATCCCGTCCCTAATCATTTTCTTCCATCCCCTCTTCCAGGTCCGCCTCCGCCTCCGCCGACTCGTACCATTTCGAGAGTTGAGATTGTTTTGCAAATTGTAGGATGAGGTCCGTTCTCAGGTTTGTAAACATCCAGTTTTCCCAGGTCATCGCTCCGGGGATCTTCTCTATCAGAGGGGTGCGGATTCGAGCCCACGCTGGGCATTCCATAAGTATGTGTTTCGCTGAGTTTTCCATACCACACTGGCATGGTTCGGGGTCTGTGTGTACTGCGTGTTTGTCGATTCGGGTGGTTTGGCACCGGATCCGAAATACTTTCTTTGCTTCCGTAAGGGTGAGTTTCGCTATCTTGGGAGGGGGGCGAAATTCCCCCCGATGATGGTAGTTAGGTATTGGTTGTGTGTTCCATTCTTCCAACAGGTGATCGCGCAGTAGTTTGTTCTGGTTCCACTTATCTCTCGCATTTCCGGGGGTTTGGTATGGGAGTAGTAGGGAGGCGATTCGGTGTAGGCCTGTTCCTTTGATGTTTGCTTCTCTGTATGGGAGGAGCTCGATCCGGGATTCGTTGTTAGGGTGGGTTGCGTCGGTGCAGAGTATTCTGGTTCCGTACTTTCTTGAGCGGTATGTCAGGAGATGTTCTAAGGGGGGTAGGCCTGCTTCTCGGAGGAGTTTAGTTCTTTTGGTCCATCGTGGTAGGCCGGTGATGATCCGAGCCGCTTCATTATACAGTGGTTCAAGAGATCTTATAATGTGGTCTGCGCCAGTCCACCAAGCTTCGGATCCGTAGAGTAGGCTTGGGAGGAAGCCTTGTGTTATGATGTGATGGATTGTTTTAACCGTTATTCCTGGCAGGCGGGCGGTGTACCGGATCTGGTGGAGGGCTTTGAGGCCTTTTGCAATCGCTGCTTCGATGTGTGGCCGGAAGGAGAGGGTCGGATCTATCCAGACTCCTACGTATTTCAGCCTCTCCTTGGGGTGTATGTTGGTATTGTTGATTTTGATCGAAAGTCGTGGTTGTTGTATGGATGATGTGGTGGGCCGGAAGAAGATCAGGTCGGATTTATCCGGGTCGTATTTAATTTGAAGTGGCTCAGCTTTTATTAGTCTCTCTCTCATTCGTTCCTCCATTCTCTTGATTATGAAGCCTGGTGTTTTGGATATTTGCACCAGCGCATCGTCATCGATGTAAGTGGTGTCCATCTCTTTTGGGCTGCTCGTTGGGTCCAGGATTACTCCAGCATAGATCATAAATAGCACCGGGGACATGGGGCTACCTTGCGGCACTCCAGAATCATAGGGCTGTGGCTCCTCTAGCTCATGGTTGAATTGAAACTGTAGTTTTCTGCCGGTGTTGAATTCCTTACACCATTCTGTTAAGTATGTAGGGAATTTTTGTTGTTGCATGACTTCCGCGAGGAGTAGGTGGTCGACGCAGTTAAATGCTCCTTGGATATCATTGGTTAGGATCGCTGGTCTGTCTCGCCGCGCGACTCCGGTACTGTTTTTCAGTAATAGGTTTTGTTGTATTGGTGTTAAGGTTCTCAGCAGGGCGTCGACTGCCGAGATGGTTGGTCTTCCTCCAAATTGGTTCGCTGAGAGTGTGCCTAGAATTTCTCCAGCGATGCAGAGTCTTTGGGCCACTATCTTCTCCAGGATTTTGCTGAAACATTGTAGAAGGGAAATGGGCCGGTAGGCTTTTGCTTCATGATAGTGTGAGGGATGCGTACCAGACCACAAGAGTACACTACGCAGAGCTCAGAGTTCGGCTAACAGCTACAAAGGTAGAAGTCTCCAAGGTCTCTTCAGTCAACGTCGAGTATGATTCTCCTTGATCCGATACGGGCCCCGCGAGCTACGTTATCAACAAAGATTCACTAGAGTTAGCGTGTGATGTTCGACCGTCTTCGACGTAATAGTTCAGGTAGAGTTCGAAGTCACGATAGAATAAAGTATTTCCAAAAGTATAGTCAAATAAAGTTGTAACTCGCGTATCAACGATTTATATTGTTAAGACTCTGATTTCGCCGATAATGGTTTGGCTAGTCAGTGAATGATACAGTATTTATATCCCTCGCTTATGTCTCGAGGACCCAGTCTACTAATAATACAGAATACACTCGGGGCATGCCCGAGACCCTGAAAAATAACCAAGAACATTTAACTCCTAAGTCCGTAACCCAAACTCCTAAAGCCGCTGAAACCCCTCAACCTATTTACCCACTCTAATGCACGTTTCCCTGTCGATGTTTCTTCCCCATCGGCCGTCTGGTGGATAATCGTCAGCGTCGGCTATTCGGAGGTCTCGGACGGCAAGGCTACCTACTCAGGCCTCTTCCCATATCGCTTTCCCATATAGCAGAGTCCTCTCATGCCCACAGGTACCGCCGATAGGTACTCGGTCGGCTGGCAGCTTGCTCCGATTCGCTCCGAGCGGTCCGATCTTCAATCCGATTGATTCCAGCTGTCCCTCATATATCCACCGGTACCAAAACACTCCCCTCCGGCGGTTTGACGCTCCGGGGGTTATTATTGGGGTCGAAAACGTGTTTTTTAACTAGGAAAACCGCAACTCCGCATTTGGTCGCATGTTGATCGCACCGTACCTCGTAGGTGCGAGCCGGAGTTGATAGTGGTGTTACCATTAGTTATTAAAGGGTATAGGGGTATCTACTAGCCTTTCTCTCACTCCCGTAAATGCTTGGCATGCCCGTAACAGATAGTTTGCTTTACCGGGTTTCGGGATCGGGATACACTTAGCTATTTTCCATTCCGCTGGGTGTACGCCGTGCCGGAGCATGGCGGAGAACATGTCTTGGATTAGAGTTGTGTTTGCTTTGACTATTGCTTTAATAAAGGTATAGGGAATGCCATCCGGGCCGGTCGCCGAGTGCGCTGGACAGGAGCCGATTGCTTTATTAAGTTCTTCGGGGGTGACTATGTCGAAGGTGTTGCTAAGGTCAAAAGAAGGGGGTCTAATGTTTAGGGGGGGGTGGTCGGGGGACGTCCGTTTCGAGGGGAAAAGTTGGGCTCTTAGAGCTTGACACTTCCCCGCAAACGTTTCTTCACCTTGTATTGTTGGTATGATTGTGTCTCTTCTCCTTCCTGCGTTTAGGATTCTCCAGACTTCACTACCTTTCGCCTCGTTCATCGTCTTTTCCCGCTGGTCCGCTTTTGCTTTCCGGATCATGACTGTCCATTCTCTGCATGCCTTCCGGTGCTCCTCCGCGTGGTTGGGTTTCCTTGTATTTCTCGCCTTCCTTTCTGCCGAGTTTACCCTTGCCTTCATTTGTTTCATCTCGTCTGACCACCAGGAGTTGGCTCTTACCCCCTCCTTTGAGAGTGGCGTTACTATATTGACTGTTGACCTAACCAGCTCTAGGAAGAAGTCGACAGTTTGTTCCGTATGTTCCTTAGTTTCCCATGCCTCTGCAGGGACGGAAATGTTTGACATGTGGTTCTCCAATAGCTTCCAGTCTGTTTGTCGCCACATTCGTCTTGGTACAAAAGGTGGTTTTTCTAAGTGTAAGTGGACGGAGGTTCTCCCATGGTCTGAGCCCGCTCCGTAGGGTTCAGTGCTCCATCGTAGGTTGTGGTCGAGTATTGGGCCTTTTACAAATGCAAGGTCGATGGTTGTGGGCCTCTTCCCTCTGTCCCTGGGGAAATGCGTAAAGACGCCTGGTTCGTTCAGGAGGGTCAGTTTCTGTCGGGTTATCCATCGTTTTAACCGTGCGCCGTTGACGCGGTCTGCTCTGATGTTGTTTCTGTATTCATGTGAATTTACTCCGTACCACATTTGATGGTGGCAGTTGAAGTCTCCCATTACTAGGCAATTCTCAAGGGTTTGGATTGTACTTGCTATTTGGGCAAAGGGGCCACTTCGGCCTGGGGAGTATATGTTTAGGATTTGGGTTTTCTTGGTCTGGATTTCTACCGTAATCGATACTATGAAGTTGTCGTGTGTGTAGTGGTGTTTTGGTTTCAGGTTGGCATGTTTGCGGACGTATGTTGCGCATTTTGTATTGGTGTTACTGGCTGTAAAAAGATAAAAGAGATTTGATTCTGGTGGATAACCTTCTGTTGAGGTCCATGGTTCTTGTAGTAGTAAAAAATAGATACTCGAGTCTGTTTCTGCTTCTTCCACCGCCGCCTTGGTGATTAGTTCGCTCCGTGCACAATTAAGTTGGTGTGCGAGCGCGGTTGTTAGAGACCTAGGCATTATTCGTCATGTGTTGGTCGTCTTCGGGAACGGGTGTGGCTCCGACCGGGGCGGTGGCTGGTACTTGGACTATTGGAAGTAGCTCTTGGGCAGGTGCGGCAGGTGGGTCTTGGACAGGTGGGGCGTTTTCTTTTCCTTTGTTGAGGAATCGGCGTTTGACTCTTTCAGGGCATGCTGGGTCGGAGGCCTTATGGATTCCTTTACAGTTCAGACATCTGATTGGGGTGTGGGTGCATCTATATCCTCCCTGACATTGATTGCATGGGTGGAAGCTGGTGAGGTGATCTCCGGCACAGTGACCGCATCTCCCGCTGTTTTTGCATTTCTCCTGGCGGTGGCCGTATTCGAGGCACTTCGCGCATTGGGTGTCTGGGAAGGTTGGGAGGAAGGCCTCGATGTGGCAGCTTCGGTTAAAGAGGGATAGGAACTTAACTCCTAATGTTTCCATTGTGATTTGTCCTGGGAGCGCGATGATCATTGATGAGTGGGTTTTTCCCATTCGAGTCTCTGCTCTGGAGATCCAGCGGGGAACCTGGGCGAGTTGAAAGTTCTCTCCGTAGTTGCTTCTAATTTCTGAGGCTACCAATTGTCCCGCCTCAATGCCCTCCCCGACCGTTGTGGGGATCCCATGGAGGAGAAACTTTGACCATTTAGAGTTTGCGCGGATAACAGCGACCGGTACCTGTAGGGTGAGGAGGGCCTCCTCAATTTCTTTGGCATACTCCATTGCCTTTGTTGCAGGGGTAACGAATTTTGTTTCCAGGATGAAATTGTCCTTGGGTGTTCTTCTTGCTGAGATAAAGTGGCATGACTCGTCCTGGATTCTTGCATTGACGAGGGTCCTGATCTCGGAGGGGTTAACGTCGGATGGGGCAGTAGTTTCAACAATGATCTCCCTGTTGATTTTGGTGTATTCTGGCTTAAAGAGGGGGTCCGCTTTTGGCTTTGCGGACTTCTTTTTCCTCTCGATGACCTGGAAGTTTCCTTGGGCGGGACCGGGTGCCGAGGCCACGGCGGCCCAGGTGCCTGCCTTCCATCCACGAGGTGGGGCTTGTTGGGGGGGTGCGGGTGGGGGGGCCTGAGGGGCTGCCTGTGGCGCTGCTTGGGGAATTGTTTGTGGGACCGCTGGAGGGGGCATTCTTTGTCCTTGCGGTTGTTGTGGTTTTCGCTGTTGTTGCTGTTGTTGCTGTTGTTGCGGTTGCTGCGGTTGCTGCGGTTGTGGTTGTTTGTTGAGGAGCGCGTGGATCGCCGAGTGCATATTGGTGATCATGTTTGTCTGCGCCTCGATTTGATGTTTCAGTGTATCCACTGTTCTCCGGAGTGTAGTTGTTTCCTCTTCGAGGATTTCAATCCTGTCGGAGGGTGGGCAGATCCGGCTGGTAGCATGTCTGATGGCCCAGGTAATATAGTTCAGGTCTGTCTGGGTGTGAGTGTCCTGAGGGACAATGCTCGGGTAGAGGTAGTCGACTCTCGGTTGGGATGGGTCGTTGTAGTCGGATTCCGTTGCAAAGGTCGAGGAAAATTCCTGTTCCTGAGCTCCGGATGGGGTTGGGTCGGGGACCTGGGTGTTCTTGATCTGCGAGGGGGCTGGCCCTTGCTGGGAAGACTGGGTGAAAAAGGACTGAAGCGAAGCTTGCTGCGACATGACTGAGTGTCCAGTTCTTCTGGCGGCGTAGAGTGATGTTTCGGATAGGTTTCTTTTCCTTCCTTTCGGGAGGTCAAGGCTGGAGAATTCTTCGCTGGAAGCCAGTTTTCGTAGGTTTCTTTCGCTTGGACAACAAGACGCGACCGTACGATCGGGGACGAAGTGGCCCAACCTGGTATGATATACCAGGGTAAACCGAGAGGAATAAAATAAGATGTTTTTGAAGCGAGGTTTGTTATCAGGGAGTTCTTTGCGAGTTGGAGGCGAGCAAGTAGAATACAGAGAGAGAGAGAGAGAATCTTATATTGCATAGAAGCCGAAGCTTATCGCACACCTAACTACCCGACTACAACCTCCACCGACTAACCCGAAAGCAAAACGAAGTACAAAAACTAACTACCGCAGCTACAAGAACTGCGTACATAATAAAACAAAACAGCGCACGAAGAGGGCGCGAATAACAAGTGGTACAGGTAAGCAGAATCTAAGCGACAACAAAGAAACCTCCCCGTAGTAAAAATGAACCCCAAACTTCTCCGTCAACTACATAAGCGAGCACAATCCTAAACGTAGTGTTCAATCGAAACGATATCATTACCAACGTTCCCGGTGTCATATCTGTAGACAAACCTTAACAGGACTGGGAAACCACGCGCACGAAGGCAGGAGAGGCCAACCGCCGCAGCGTCAGGGTGGAAGCGAGGGGGGTGGTGTAAGAGTGGGTCCTCGGGCGTCTGGTTGTCAGGCAGCGAGGAGTTAAGGAGTGGTGACTGGTAGGTCAAATAAGAATGGGTGGGGTCGTCGGTCCCTGGAGCAACGGCTAAAGACTGTGCCCGAGTCGTATTTAAAGTGGTGTCCTCTGGAGGGGACATGCAAGAAGGGGTTGAGCCGAAGGCTCAGTATGTATGGGGGTCGCAATCGAAGGTGCCGACCGTATTGTGTTGAGGGTGGTCTCGGAGACCGGTTGGGTTGGGGTGAGGGGAGCGGGCCGCCTCGGGTAAAAAGGGTTGCCTGGTTAAGGCCGATAAAGAGGGGTAAGGTCACGGGACCTCGGGTAAAAATTTGACGATAGTTTCGCGACCGAGAGGTCGCTAACTTCGCGGGCTGTCGAGCGCTTTGGCAGTAGGTTCTCGCTGACTGGAGGTTACTGACAGTGTGCGTACCCGACGTGTGGGATCACTCGTGCGATGAGTGAAAGTAAGGAGGGGGAACGACCGTCTGGCGGTGGCCGTCGTTTTGGCGAGGGGTGAACGGTGGACGCGACCCGTGAGGGCACCGAACGAGCAAAGAATGGGGGGGGGTCGAGCGGGGGAAGTTCAGGGACCGAAGCAATTCGAGAATCAGTATAACTCCATCTCGGGGGGAAGAAATCCTACCGCGAGCCAGAGGCGAGCGGGTAGAATACAGAGGTTGCATAAAGAGAAAAGGAAAAGAAAGAGAAACAAGAAATTACGAAACAACGCCCCCCTTATATACCCATTGTCTATCCCAATGCTGACTCATACACTCGCGTAACAGAAACAGAAAGAACATAATAGAAACCCGCTTCGCTAAACCCAACCACACTACATAATCCTTCTCCCTTATATCCAGACAACTCACATAGCCAACCCGCCTAGCTGCCGTTACACCCGGACATCAATTGGGAACTCAACACCATGAGCTGGAGGAGTGACTACTGCAAGCAGAATTGTCTCCCAGCGGCCACCAAGATTGAACTGATCTCTCCATACCAAATGTTGGAAGAAGAAGAGACAGTCTATCAATTGGTTGGTTCAGTATGGCATGATGAGGACGGAGGTGGTATTGCTGAGAAAATACACCACCTATACCGGGATTGGGCTGATGTGTTCAGTCAAGAGAAGATTGAGGAAATGCCGCCGCATTCCCATAATGATTTGAAGATCAAACTCTTGCCTGGCACCGCTCCCCCATTTGGCCCGCTGTACCCATGTTCCGCTCCAGAGTTGAAGGCCCTCCGAGAATACCTGGACAAAGAATTGTCTTCAGGAAAGATCTCTAGATCTAACAGCCCTGCTGCGGCGCCCATACTGTTCATTCCTAAGAAGGATGGGACATTGCAGATTTGTGTGGACTACAGAGGATTGAACAAGGTCATTGTCAAGGACAAGTACCCGTTGCCTATCATGAGTGAGCTCAGAGATAGGTTGTTCAAGGCCAAAATCTTCACAAAGATAGGCCTGAAGAACGGCTTCAATTTGATCAGGATAGCAGAAGGTGATGAGTGAAAAACCGCTTTCAGAACCCGCTATGGACTGTATCAGTATAATGTGATGCCATTTGGTCTATGCAATGCTCCCTCCGCTTTCCAGGCAATGATCAATGATGTGCTAAAGGAACTACTGGATGAAGGAGTAGTTGTCTATATTGATGACATCCTCATCTACTCGGAGACTGAGAAAGAGCATGAGCTATTGGTCAAGAAGGTACTACAGAAGCTTAGGGAAGCTAAGCTCTGTGCCTCGATCAGTAAGACATCCTTCCATGTCCGAGAAGTAGAATACCTAGGCTATCACATCTCGGAAGAAGGAGTATCTATGTCAGAAGACAAGGTGGAGGCAGTTAAGGAATGGCCGGTCCCTGAGAATATCAAGGCAGTACAGGCATTCCTCGGATTTGCAAACTTCTATCGCCGCTTTATTGAAGGCTTCAGTAAAGTTTGCAAACCATTAACTGACCTCCTGCAAAAAGACAAGAAATGGTATTGGACGGCAGTACATGAGCAGGCCTTTGAAGAACTCAAGAGGCTGTTCACAAGCGCTCCAATCCTCCTTCATTTTGACCTTAGTAGGAGAACAGTGGTCGAGACAGATGCCAGTGATTTTGCCAAGGGAGCGGTGCTCTCTCAGTATGGGGATGATGGGAAGCTACATCCGGTGGCATTCTATTCTAAGAAGTTCTCCCCTGCTGAGATCAACTATGACATTCATGATAAGGAAATGGGAGCTATTGTAGCCTCTTTCCGGGAATGGAAACACATGCTCAAATCTTGTGAGCAAGAGATCACGGTTTTTACAGACCACAAGAACTTGGAGTACTTTAATTCTACCAAGGTTCTCACTAGGCGGCAAGCTAGATGGTCTGAAGACCTCGCAGGCTACAATTTTAAAGTTGTCTACAAACCGGGAGAAAAGAATGGCAAGACTGATGTGCTATCTAGGCGCTGGGATCACCGCCTTGGAGAGGGAGGTGAAACTCTGCAGCCGGAGCCACAGATCTTTTTTAGGCCAGGTCAATTGGTTTTGGATCCTGTAAAGCTAGCGGCTGTCAGGGTGAATCAATTGCAGAATACATTCTTAGAGCGCCTATACACGGCTGCTAAAGAGGATAGTTTCTGGCAGGAATTGCACCGCTCCCTGGTTGAAAGGAAACCAAATTTGGACCAGAACTTGTCGGTCAAGAACGGTCTCATCTTCTATAAGAATAGATGGTATATACCCAAAGACAAGAAGCTTCAGATGGAAATACTGTCCGATACCCATGACTCTAAGGTGGCGGGTCACTTTGGCCAATTTAAGACACTTGAGCGGGTGAAAAACAACTTCTTTTGGCCCAACATGGATAAGGATGTTGAGGAATATGTCCGGAGCTGTGACAGCTGCCAGAGGAATAAGACCTCAAGACATAAGAAGTTTGGTATGCTCCAACCGTTGGAGATGCCCTATCGGCCATGGACTTCCATCTCTATGGACTTCATTGTGGGATTACCGGAATCTAGTGGGTTTACAAAAATCTGGGTAATAGTGGACCGCTTTTCGAAGATGGCACACTACATCCCTCTTCCTACCCTCAATAAAACGGAAGATTTGGCTAAGTTGTTCTTGAAGGAAGTTTGGAGACTCCATGGTTTACCTGATGACATAGTCTCGGACAGAGATAGCAGGTTCATTTCTCACTTTTGGCAATCTCTCATGAGTCTCCTCAATGTGAAGCTGAAGATGTCCACTTCTTTCCACCCTCAAACGGACGGTCAAACAGAAAGAGTTAACCAGACCCTGGAACATTACTTGCGGAGTTATTGTTCATATCAACAGGATGACTGGGCAGAACTCTTGCCTTTGGCAGAGTATGCATATAACTCGGCAGTCTCTGAGTCTACCAAAGTATCGGCTTTTTATGCCAACTATGGATATGAACCCAGAACCAACTGGCCGGCCCCAAGGGAAGGAGTAGAATGGAACAATCCAGCGAGCGAGGTCATGATATCTCAATGGGAATCTATCTGGCAGGCTATGAATGCCAGCTTGGGTAAAGCTAGATTAAGGATGGCCCGATGGTATGATGTTCATGCCCTGGCACCGCCTGAAATCAAGCCCGGAGATGAAGTGATATTGGACCGGCGCAATGTGCAAACAAAGCGGCCTTTGGGAAAACTGGATCAGAAGAAGATGGGACCCTTTAAGGTCTTAGAAGCTATTGGTACCCATGCCTACAGGCTCTCTCTTCCCCCCCAAATGGGAATCCACCCGGTCTTTCATGTCTCTCTTCTGGAACCTTACCGAGCACCGGTAGATCCTGAGAGAAGAGTTCCTGTACCGGAGCCCGAAGAGATTGAAGGAGAACAGAACTGGGTTGTCCGAGAGGTAGCTGATAGCCGGGTCAATAAGAAAAGGAGACGAGTGGAATACCTAGTGCTGTGGGAAGGTTATGAAAACGAGGATGCTACATGGGAACCTTGGGAGCATCTCAAGAAGAGTGCTGAAGAAGCCCTTCGGGATTTCCATATGAGGTATCCTAAGAAACCCAAGGACAAGCGGATTGTTGGGGTGTAGACTATTTCCTTTTGGGTTTTCATTTCCTTGTATATCACGGAGGTTCTTGTCATATAGAATGAATGGTAATAGAATGGTTATAGATCTCGGAGACCAAGATCCTGGAAGAGGGGAGTGGTGTAACGGAGCCATTTCAACTATCTGGTGTATGAGTACACACAGGGCCCGGTTACATGCTGAGAGTTATTGTTAGAAGCCAGTTGCACGGTGATATGCAAGTACCGGCAGTGTGGTTAGCTACCAGCTGTTAGAGTAACTACATTCCGGGCGCTAGGAAGGGGATCTATTCATGGGAGCAATGACTGACGAGTCTATGCCTCGCCAGTGACTAGAAGACCGGCCAGAGTGAAGCTCTGATTGTCCGGTGATCCTCTGTATCCTCTGAGCATTGTAAGTCCGCCGAAGGGCAGGGACTATGCTAGGGAAGTCTACAATAAGTGAAAGATCTACAGCAATGATTAAGCCTACACCTGAGCGGCAGCTCATTCATGCAGGTCCTCGGTTGTGTGGCAACCAAGGCTGCAGGTGTTACAAAGGCTTTGACTAAGGGTGGTTGCCTTGGGTATCGGAAACACCTGCTGACGCTTAGAAAAAAGCGGGGTAGCGGTGGTATTGTTTCCGCTACTGAGGGAATGCCCACCGGAACTTAGTAAAAGGAGTTAGGAGCAGAGAATAGAGACCTTCGGAGTATAAGTACTCAGGTTCATTCTCGCCCTTCAGTCCTGTTCTCTCCAGTTTTCATCAGAAAGAAAAACCAAGTTCTTATCGGTAGCAGAGCCCTTAAAGATTATTGAGTTCTAGCGATAGTATCTTTGAATAATCTGCAACCTGATTGTCTATCTTGCACGGCCGTCTCTATTCTATCCGATTCTATTTCTCTTAGAAAGGATCCCCGTTACAGGCTCCGTTACATCAAGTATTCCTAGGATTTGCAAATTTCTACCGATGGTTTATTTTGGGATATTCGAAAATTGTTGCTCCGCTTACAGCCTTGACAAAGAAAAATGTTAAATTTGAATGGACGGATGAAAGGGAAGAAGCATTTCAAACTTTGAAAAAGATGTTTACAACGGCACCGATACTAGCTCATTTCAATCCGGATCGAAAAATTGTGATAGAAACCGATGCATGTGACTATGTTTCAGCAGGAATCCTATCTCAACGTGATAACGAAGGAATCCTACATCCAGTTACTTTCTTTTCCAAGAACCATTCTCCTGCAGAATGCAACTACGAAATCTATGACAAAGAACTTTTAGCAATTATACGATGCTTCGAAGAATGGCGACATCGCCTGGAGGGAGCTCAATTTCCAATTGAAGTTCTTAGCGACCATCGGAATCTTGAATATTTTATGACAACAAAATTGTTAAATCGTCGACAAGCTCGTTGGTCCGAATTTCTTTCACGTTTTGATTTCGTTATACAATTTCGGCCAGGAAAACAAGGAACAAAACCAGATGCATTAACTAGGAGGTCAGATGACTTACCTAAAGAGGGGGATGAACGGTTGACGCATCAGAGTCAAGTGATTTTGAAGCGAAAAAATTTGGGTACCAAGCTAAGTTTGTTCGCGGGTTCTTTGTCAAATGAATCCACTGAAGGAGCGTGTAACGGGGGTCCTTTCTAAGAGAAATAGAATCGGATAGAATAGAGACGGCCGTGCAAGATAGACAATCAGGTTGCAGATTATTCAAAGATACTATCGCTAGAACTCAATAATCTTTAAGGGCTCTGCTACCGATAAGAACTTGGTTTTTCTTTCTGATGAAGACTGGAGAGAATAGGACTGAAGGGCGAGAATGAACCTGAGTACTTATACTCCGAAGGCCTCTATTCTCTGCTCCTAACTCCTTTACTAAGTTCCGGTGGGCCTTCCCTCAGTACCGGAAACAATACCACCGCTACCCCGCTTTTCTCTAAGCGTCAGCAGGTGTTCCCGATACCCAAGGCAACCACCCTTAGTCATAGCCTTTGTAACACCTGCAGCCTTGGTTGCCACACAACCGAGGACCTGCATGAATGAGCTGCCGCTCAGGTGTAAGCTTAATCATTGCTTTAGAGCTTTCACTTATTGTAGACTTCCCTAGCATAGTCCCTGCCCTTCGGCGGACTTACAATGCTCAGAGGATACAGTGGATCACCGGACAATCAGAGCTTCACTCTGGCCGGTCTTCTACACACTGGCGAGGCATAGACTCGTCAGTCATTGCTCCCATGAATAGATCCGCTTCCTAGCGCCCGGAATGTAGTTACTCTAACAGCTGGTAGCTAACCACACTGCCGGTACTTGCATATCACCGTGCAACTGGCTTCTAACAATAACTCTCAGCATGTAACCGGGCCCTGTGTGTACTCATACACCAGACAGTTGAAATGGCTCCGTTACAGAGCGTCTACTGTAGAGGAACTATTTTCAAAAGCTTATCAAGTTGATAGTTTCCCAAACAAGATCCTCACTATGCTTCGGAATGGTGTTCACCACTCGAACAAGATTTCACTTGCCGAATGTATGGAAGATAACAACGGTCGACTTCTTTATCGAGGCATGCTATATGTACCAGACGACAATGACCTTCGACTAAGGCTTTTGAAAGAACATCATGATAAACCATCCGCAGGACATCCGGGTAGAGCAAAGACATTGGAACTTCTAAATCGAAAATATTACTGGCCACAAATGCGAAAATATGTCGACCAATACATTAGGAATTGCAATGTGTGTGCCCGTAGCAAGGTACCACGCAATGCACCTTATGGAGTACTCCGACCTATGCCGATACCTGAGGGACCGTGGATGGATATATCAATGGATTTTGTTACTGATCTCCCTGAGAGCGATGGATACGATGCAATCTTGGTTGTGGTGGATAGATTAACCAAAATGCGACATCTAATACCAACGACTAAAGAGGTAGATTCAAAGGAAGTAGCAAGGCTATATATCAATAACGTTTGGAAGCTACATGAATTACCTGATACTATTGTATCTGATCGAGGAACACAGTTTGTTGCGGAATTTTGGAAATCGCTTTGTGATCGGTTGGAAATTGTGAGGGATGCGTACCAGACCACAAGAGTACACTACGCAGAGCTCAGAGTTCGGCTAACCGCTACGAAGGTAGAAGTCTCCAAGGTCTCTTCAGTCAACGTCGAGTATGATTCTCCTTGATCCGATACGGGCCCCGCGAGCTACGTTATCAACAAAGATTCACTAGAGTTAGCGTATAATGTTCGACAGTCTTCGACGTAATAGTTCAGGTAGAGTTCGAAGCCACTGTTACGGGCATGCCAAGCATTTACGGAGTGAGAGAAAAGCTAGTAGATACCCCTATACCCTTTAATAGTAATGGCAACACCACTATCAACTCCGGTTCGCACCTACGAGGTACGGTGCGATCAATATGCGACCAAATGCGGAGTTGCGGTTTTCCTAGTTAAAAAATACGTTTTCGACCCAATAATAACCCCCGGAGCGTCAAACCGCCGGAGGGGAGTGTTTTGGTACCGGTGGATATATGAGGGACAGCTGGAATCAATCGGATCGAAGATCGGACCGCTCGGAGCGAATCGGCGCAAGCTGCCAGCCGACCGAGTACCTATCGGCGGTACCTGTGGGCATGAGAGGACTCTGCTATGTGGGAAAGCGATGTGGGAAGAGGCCTGAGTAGGTAGCCTTGCCGTCCGAGACCTCCGAATAGCCGACACTGACGATTATCCACCAGACGGCCGATGGGGAAGAAACTGTTACGGGCATGCCAAGCATTTACGGGAGTGAGAGAAAGGCTAGTAGATACCCCAATACCCTCTGTACGCTAATAGCAACTCTTGACCACACTCGCGGAGTGTGGTGCGACCAAATTACGACCAAAAACCCAGAGTCATAAAAAACACGTTTTCGACCCCAATAATAACCCCCGGAGCATCAAACCGCCGGAGGGGAGTGTTTTGGCACCGGTGGATATATGAGGGACAGCTGGAATCAATCGGATCGAAGATCGAACCACTCGGAGCGAATCGGCGCAAGCTGCCAGCCGACTGAGTACCTATCGGCGGTACCTGTGGGCATGAGAGGACTCTGCTATGTGGGAAAGCGATGTGGGAAGAGGCCTGAGTAGGTAGCTTTGCCGTCCGAGACCTCCGAATAGCCGACACTGACGATTATCCACCAGACGGCCGATGGAGAAGAAATATCGACAGGGAAACGTGCATTAGAGTGGATAGATAGGTTGAGGGGTTTCAGCGGCTTTAGGAGTTTGGGTTACGGATTTAGGAGTTAAATGTTCTTGGTTGTTTTTTAGGGTCTCGGGCATGCCCCGAGTGTATTCTGTATTTTTAGTAGACTGGGTCCTCGAGACATAAGCGAGGGATATAAATACTGTGTCATTCACTGACTAGCCAAACCATCATCGGCGAAATCAGAGTCTTAACAATATAAATCGTTGATACGCGAGTTACAACTTTATTTGACTATACTTTTGGAATTACTTTACTCTATCGTGACTTTGAACTCTACCTGAACTATTACGTCGAAGACGGTCGAACATCAAACGCTAACTCTAGTGAAACTGTTGATAACGTAGCTCGAGGGGCCCGTATCGGATCAAGGAGAATCATACTCGACGTTGACTGAAGAGACCTTGGAGACTTCTACCTTTGTAGCTGTTAGCCGAACTCTGAGCTCTGCGTAGTGTACTCTTGTGGTCTGGTACGCATCCCTCACAGAAACATCGACAGGGAAACGTGCATTAGAGTGGATAAATAGGTTGAGGGGTTTCAGCGGGTTTAGGAGTTTGGGTTACGGACTTAGGAGTTAAATGTTCTTGGTTGTTTTTCAGGGTCTCGGGCAGGCCCCGAGTGTATGCTGTATTATTAGAAGACTGGGTCCTCGAGACATAAGCGAGGGATATAAATACTGTGTCATTCACTGACTAGCCAAACCATCATCGGCGAAATCAGAGTCTTAACAATATAAATCGTTGATACGCGAGTTACAACTTTATTTGACTATACTTTTGGAATTACTTTACTCTATCGTGACTTCGAACTCTACCTGAACTATTACGTCGAAGACGGTCGAACATCAAAGGCTAAACTCTAGTGAATCTTTGTTGATAACGTAGCTCGCGGGGCCCGTATCGGATCAAGGAGAATCATACTCGACGTTGACTGAAGAGACCTTGGAGACTTCTACCTTTGTAGCTGTTAGCCGAACTCTGAGCTCTGCGTAGTGTACTCTTGTGGTCTGGTACGCATCCCTCACAGTATATTGTTACTCACAAGTTCACTTGGAGTAACGAAGTCACCTCAAAAAGAAGAACTATCATCATTATCCCTTACCACAATGGCTGGCCGAAGGGATTATTTCGTAGACACCTCGGCCGTAACAGATGAGGCTGCAGAGGACGCTATGGTACTATCTGGGGCTGTTAGCCCCGATCCCCTACTCCAGGGAGGACCCTCTACACAAACTAGGTCAACAAGTAAACGCTCTACTCAAGCCCAGTTTACGAGGTCCATGCAGGAGTTTTTGGATACCCATGAGGCACAAATGAGGTATCTTGGTACAGCTGGACAGGCCGTTTGGCAGCAGCTACAAAACCTCCAGGAACAAGTGCAGGGGAGTGGGCAGATCCTGGATAAGAAAGCACGGCAAGAAGCCATCGCCCAGAAGCAACATCTCGAATCGCTCTTTGAGCTCGTCGAAAATGTGCGACAAGTACAGGAAGCCGCACGAGCCGCCGACCACGAGGTTCTCGATCGTAACCATCGAATTACCCAGAACCAACTATTGGAGGCGGAACGACAGCTGAGAGTTGCAAGAGAAGAGCGAGAGCAGGAGAAAAGGGAACAGCGGGAACTGTTGGCACAATTCAAACAGTCCGATGACATAAGAAACCAACGAATAGCCGAGATGGAGGAACGTCTACGACAACATTTGTCGGTAGCACCCTCCATGGTGAGTATTCCCCTGGACCCTAATGCCCCCCAAACGGTTCCTGTTGGCAATGGCAAGAATCCCGAAAATGCTGGCCCAGTAGGAGGAAATGCTGGCCCAGTAGGAGGAAATGCTGGTCCCGTAGGAGGAAATGGAGGCAGGCAACCGGAGGATGCCGCCCCGGTGCAGGGAAATAGTGGCAGGAAACCGGTGGGAGCTGCCCCCGTCAGCGGGAATGGTGGAAATCAACCTCCCCAGAACCCACCAAGAGGAAATGTTGGGGGAGATCCAGAACCTTCCGACGACGATGACGACGATAACAGTGAATGGTCGCATGGTCGGAAGAATTGGAGTAGGAACCGAGGCGGAAACCGGAATTCGGCGCCGCCCGAGGATGAAGATATGGTAGACTCGCTCGCCAAAATACCCTTCGATTTCGATAATGCCCGGAAGCATAACCTGCGGCATTGGCTCATGGAGTGCGAGATATACTTTGAGCAGAAGCCCAAGAAGTTCCGAACGGACAGGAATAAGGTACTGTTCGCTGGGACGTATACGTGTGGGTTGGCAAAGGAATGGTTTATGGAATATATCGAGACCAAGATGCTAGGACCGGCAGCCGCGGACTACGCTACTTGGACTCGTTTCCGTCAGGAGATTAGAAAACGCTTCTTAAGCACTCAGGAGGCTATGGAGAACGCGATGAAGATGCAGCAGTTTAAGTACTCTGCTAACATCGGAGACTACCTGACGAGAATGGAGATCATGAACCAGCATGCTCAGATGAAAGGAGCATCCTATCGCGCCGCCCTGCTCCAAGGACTACCAAATGAAATCCGGGAGCTCCACTCACGCTTCGATCCAACCGATGACGACTCCGAGTACATCCAACAGTTGGAACGAGCCGGCAAGGTTCACGAGGCTTATCAAGAGCAGATGAAGATGTTGGGGAAAGCGGAGTCGAGAGGAAGGGAGTCGAACAATGGTGGGAACTCGCGCCAGAAGGAGAAGGGGTTTAAGATCAAGGGGAGGGCTCAGACTGAGGAGAAAGAAAAAGGGCAAGATAAGAAGAGCACCAGCAAGACCAAGTCGGGGAATAAGCCAATATACCACGACTACGACGAAGCCACCAAAGGAGTTCCACAGCCGGTCCGAGAACAGCGAAAGACCGATGGAGCCTGTGTGCGATGTGGCCGGAAGGGTCATCTTTGGAAGTGGTGTCGTTCAGATGCTAACAGCAGTGCATCTATCTCCTCTTTCTCCCGAAAGCGTACCCGCGATGACGATGGCGACCACGATATGGAACCACCGGAACCCCAACCTCAAAGAAAGCGAATGAGGCACCGTGCTAAGAAGCCGGCTGCGACGGCTGCTGCGGAGTATACCAGTGGGCAGGCGTTTGTGCGAGAACGCGGATCGGAATCTGAGATGGATTTCGACGAGGATTTTTAAAAGGGGACTCTGATGAGTCAGGTCAGGAGTATCCCCAGATTGCTATGTTATCACTGACGGAAAACAACAAAAAAAATATGAAAAGAAAAAGGCAGGAAGGGAGAGCGTCCCATCCGGAGAAAAAACAGAAAATTTTGGAGGAACCTATTCATGGTCCTCGACCTATCGTTAATCAGTTCCTTTGTTTTGCGGAAAAATGTTTACCTTGTAAGGTGTTGTTGGATACTGGTGCAACTGGTCCTGTTTTGTCTGCTGTTTTTGTTGATAGTTTTGAGGTCCCGAAGGTGAAACGAGACGTCCCGGCCCGGGTATTTGGATTTACGGGAGAAGTTATGAAGGGCACGGGACACGCCTTTACACAACCATTAATTATAATGTCAAGGGGGCATCAAACGCAACTATCATTCGAGATCGCCCCTCTCCCACCTGGCATCGATGCGATACTACCAAACTGGTGGTTGAAAGAACACAAGCCGGTTATAGGGTCAAACGGGGAAGTCTCCTACGATGGTGAGAACTGCAAGAGTCGATGCTTCACTGACAAGGAACCTCAAATAGAGATGGACGAGGGAGTATTGGATGATCCGGAGGCCCAATTCATCGGTAGCATTTGTCTCTTCCAAGATGAATCGGTTAACCTCCATGAGACTCTTCCCTCTTGGCTCCATGGATTCCTTAAAGTCTTCCTACCATCGGAAGCAGATAAATTACCACCGCATCGATCTTATGACCATGCGATAGATCTCGAACCAGAGAAGCAGCCACCATGGGGACCCGTCTAC